ATAATAATCGCCGTTTAACCTATTGTAAACATTTAGGAAACGCTCTTTCGTGACGCATTAATATACCAGCCATGTCTTATAGTCTTATAACAAGCACGCGAACGACTCGCGGGGTATAAGTACTCGATGCCATGTTTATATGTATATATATATATATTATAAACATACACCATAGGTTGTAGGCGTTGTACGTATAAAAATATATTGTATATGTATCGGGGAGTTGTGTAATTATTATCTCCACATAGATATTTTATATTGTTTGCGGCATTGTAGCCATTGTATTTAAGAGCTGCGTGTTACCTAACGATATTGAATTCGTTTCTGCAGTGGTTATATTATACACAAATGTATGTATATATATATATATATATATATATATATAATATTTAATATGTGAATGTACCTAGACGGTTGGTCAAATATAAACATAATTATAATATATTGCTGTGGTTATCATTATATTTTAATATTGTGAGTTTAAATACCTTTAGTATATACCAAACAACGAAACGCCACCATAAGCATATTATTATTATTTTATCAATAGTGAATCAGTATTTTACGTGTACGTACAATTCCGATCATTATACTATTTAAATGCTTATAAATTATAATTAATTTATTATATTGGATATTTTTATGTGTGGAAATAGTATATTTAAAATAGTAAAAGTATATTTTACTTAGGAATACGAAATAAAATATTATATGTATGTTGTTACTAAAAAGTTTAAAATATGATAATGATAAAAAATATAATTTATTTAGCTGTTGAAATGTTATGTGTTGTAAATTGCAATGATCTCAAACGACATGAGAGAATTTTTTTCGAAAACATAATTTTACGTATAAAACGACTGTACCTACCTATAATAGTGACAAAAAAAAAAAAAAAGTCAACTCATACGTATAATTAAAGTGTACATACAAAGTAATTAACGTTAAATGATCAAGAGTTTGAATTATGTGTGTTATCTACACATATCATAATATGTAATATATACCTATATATAATATTTTTTTATTTCATGTTTAATGTATAAACAGCTTAAACAGCTATCACCGACGCTGTGTGTTGCGATTTCATATGTTACGGTACCTATATGACATATAGGTATCTACATCCATCACTATTTCGATAAACATAATAACAAGTCCCACGAATAAACGGCAAAGGTATTCGCACGAAATTTTAAATTACATAAATAATAATTTTACTGTCATACTTCGTACGCATGCTAGTCGTTAAACGGCGTGAAGTCTTTATAACTATATAGCCATATAGGTACATAGTACCTACATACAATTCGTGTTTTGAACATGTAGTGCCAGCACGGTTTTTGGTTGAAAAGTGTTGGTGGAATGCGAATGTGAATTCGCTGATATATACCTGTATGCAGCATTGTCATTTCTCTGTCGGGCTCGTGCGCGACGACTTCGAACTGTGGATTGTATCGAATCAGATGTATAGAAAGCTTAAAGTGAAAGGATTCAAGCAATGATGGATTGATGGTACAGCCTCATCTTTAATAATACATAATGATATCAGAATAGAAACACACGGAACGGGTCAAAGTTTACGCATGACCGAACAATATGGGTTCAAATACTATGTAATACATAGGTAGTATACGAGTATGTGACGTGTGCACATATATTAATAGTAAACGTTGCGCATTTTATTTTCAAGGGTTGGCGCTGCTATTTGTGCAATGCTATTGTAAAATTACAATGACAGATAGGTATACCCACCTCTAAATGCGTCATATGTGCAAAACGCTTTTTACATATTATATTATCATGTTACAGTCTTTGTTCGGTGTACTCTGCAAATAAAATAGCATATATGGCGTAATAGCATATAGTATAGTAATATAATTTATAAATCTAAAATACGCAAATTTAATTAGATATAATAATATAGAGGTATTAATAAAATTAACGTAATTGGATGATTTCCTGGTGTTTTAGTGGTAACACGTCTAATATATTTTATTTTATAATTTTGATATTTTCTGATCAACATAAAAGGTCAACACGAATGTTAATAATATAATAATTCATCGATCGATAGTACGAATATGGAACTAAATATGGACCAGTTATAAAATGCAATTATAGATTATATAATATTATGAGTATCGTAAATTGTCCATAATACATTTCTTTGTAAATCTATAGAAATAAAATGGAGCCAGGAAGCACCTTGATCTAAGTTCTAGAAGCCCAATAACCTCGAGACAAATATTTTTTATTTGTTATAGGAGCGTTTTTATATTGTATTACTTCCATGTTATATTCTTATAAAAAAATTTACTAGGTATCGATTTAAATTAACATTGTTTTATCAATTATTACAACACAACCGACTTGTCTTTATACTCGTATATATCATTATGGATGTATAGAATACGTAGACGCTATCAGTAGCTTAATGATTTGCAAATATAATTTGAATAACAATATAAATTATCAAATGTGTTAAATATATGCTTATTGATCAATTTGAATAGTATACAATTCAATCACAATAATTATAATATATATTATAGGTATCTATTAATCAGTTAATTTTTTTATCGGATAAGGTGTAAAAAATTTTTAATGATGTTTAAATTTAATTATTTTATTCAAGTTGATGTTATGTATTTATTATAGTATAGTTAATGTAATTTATTTTTTCAACTCTATGTTTTAAGTGTTTAAGTCTTCAGGGGTCCTTGCTATTATTTGAAAATTCAATGTCTTACCTACGGAAAAATAGCGATATAAAATCATTAAATAAACAAGATGACTTCGTATATTACATATCTATTACAATAATCATTAATTACCATTCAATAAAAGCAAATATAACTTTAGATTTTAATAAAAATATATTTATTATATTGTTTATGAAATAAAACGATTAGAGTGCTTTTATAATCAGTAAGTACATCGAGGTATTAAAAATGCATAGTTTTTATGCATTTCAACAATAATATATTATTCTAATCATGTTGTATGTTAGAACATGAATATTACTCCACCCTCTTATTATACAATGCATATTATGGTCATTTTCGTTAATGCCAACGATGATTCGATTTCGATAAATAAACTGATAATGTATTTTGTACATCAGGCGTAAATCAAAAAAATACTTGGTAAATATCCAAAATTATTGCGTATATTATTCGTTATGTACGTAGGTATTATTATGACGTGGTCAAAATGTTAAACATCACGTAATTGTATTGTTTTTTTTCACTTTTATCCAAACGGTTAAACATCATACATGACATAATTGAATAAATAATTTAATTATTACGTTTGTATAATGCATATATAGATAATTATGAAAGCTTTGGTCGATATTCAATTATTGAATTATATCATAAATTATTAGTTAATTATGTGAGTGACATGTTGTAGATTTTGGATACCTAACAAATACAATAACTACGAGAACGAGAAAATGTGTTTATTTTTTTATTAAAAACTTTCACTACTAACATAATTTAGAAGATTTGATTGTGTCTATTATTATAATTATATGAGTACCTGAATATTACGAGAAATGCTTCCAGCGGTCTTTATTCCTAAAAACAACCCTAGAAATGTTCTTAAATAATTGAATAGACTGAAGATGTCATAGAATAATAATTTATTATTTACGTTGGTCGTTGCCACGTTGGATTACATTAGAATAATCTCACCGACTTTAATTTGCGGTCGGACATTATTATAGAGCACTAAGCACTTAGCAATAGTCAATATATTATAACTGAAAAAATTTCGTACAATAGAATAGGTACTTTCAAATCATAAAATAAATCTTTTATACTATTACAGTTATTAATAATCACTATGTGTTTACAGCATTTATTATAATTTGACCATTGAATATTAATAATTCAAATAGGTACCTAATTAACGTCGTGTGAGAGTGTGTCTTAAGAGAAATAATTTAAATAGAAATACCCGGAGCTAAACTATATTATTATTTGAAAATTAATTAAGACTGAATTAAAAGAGAGACAGGGGACGCACGATTACGGGATCTATAAAATTAAGAGGCCCATTCCTCTCCGCAAATTATTTTTAAATGCATACTGCAAAAAATCAAATAAAATAGTCTGTATCATAAAAAATCGATTAATTTTACTAAATTAAAAAAATAAATTATTACCCATTTGATAATTATATTATATAATTTATAAATTAGAAAAATGAGAGTTGTAAATCGTTCTATATTATTTTATTTTTATTATGACAAGTAGTAGTAAGTTGTTATTGGTTTTTAAATATATATATGTATATATAATGATTATTAATAATAATAAACTTACTTTGAGGGTTTTATAGTTAAAGTTAGATCTTAATTTTTTTTATTGCCTTGGAAATTCGTGTTACTTATGCACAAGTAAAATAAATGTTACCTTTATGTGTCCTGTACTTGATAATAAAAATTTAATGCTGATAAATATTAAAATCTTGAGGATACAGTTGTATTATTATAATTACACAATATATAAAATAAGTAAAATAATAATTTTCTTGGTAAATGTTGGTATTCATAATGCTTAAAATAATTTTAAAAATTTAAATTTTTAAATTTAAGATTAGTGCTTAGTAGTTATGATGATAGATGGTTCATAATAGTATCATCGACAAAATCCTGTTAAATATTTATTTTATTCATAAATAGGTACTTCTGTACGGAAAAACTAAATTAATTTTGAAAATTACATTAAATAACTCAAAAATGAAAAATAAATTATTTATCAAGATATAACTAGCTACAAATAAAATAAATTTATCAACATGCGTACAATATAAATATATTTACATGTTATTTTTGTTTTATTAACATAACATTAAACAAATAAAATTTTTCACAGAAAATTAAAAATTTTGTTGTATTTAAATTGTAAGTTTAGGGTGTTTTATATTTTAAACATTTTAAAACTTAAATACTAATATTTTTACAATTACTACCTACTACTACTACTACTACTACCACCTCATCTATACATCACTTTTATTATAAATATAAACCTATATTTCAAATATGACACGTTATGTTGAAGTCCCACTATCTAATAACTGGACATTTTGGTACAAAGATAAGTGCGCAGAGGATGATGATTGGAGAACGAACTTCCAAAAGATATTCGAAGTATCAACGGTTACACAATTTATCGAGGCCTACAATCAAGCAAAACTGCCCTCTTGCTTGCCACTAGGAGCCAGTTATTATTTTTTCAAAAATGGAATACAGCCCATGTGGGAAGAAGAACCGAATAGAGGCGCTGGAGCTTGGATAATTACGGTTGCCAATCGGATTAATAATGATTTGAATTTGATTTGGTCAGATTTGTTGTTTATGCTTATAAGTGATGGGTTTAAAGAGTTGTCGAGTTATTTATGTGGTATTACATGTAACGTGAGGCACAAACAAACACAAAAAGTTACGATATGGACAGTTAAAACTACATTAGAAAATTATGAACATATAATAAAGATTGGAAGAATTTTACTAGCCCTCAAACAAAACGTTTACGAAATAAAATCAATAAAATATAAATTACATAATAGATTGTCAAATAATTTTAACTATGTGTTATAAATTTTAAAATTGTGTACAACTATATATATATATATATATATATATAATGATATTGAACACACTACAAATATGTTTTGAGTTTATTTATACACGAGATATCTATATAATGTTATTTATTTAAATGTATTTTATTTTATTAATGAAACTTCAATTTAACAACAATTTTGTATTAATGATTGTCAATAGATATTATACGAATATTATTCAAAAATGTTCAGTTCTTTTCATATTTTTATGAAATTTTAGTCACTACTAATTAGTATTAATAAAAATATATTTTGAAGAGTTAATTTTTTTGTTTTCGATCCAAATCATATTATTTTAATTTTTATTATAGATTATAATTTTAAAATTTAGAAAATTTTTAGTTATTACTTATTTGAATATTAAAAGTATAATTTTTGATTTAATATCTAAACGTATAGCATAAAGCATTTAAGGAGATTATGTTTATAGATAACTAGTTATTACAAACATATTTTGAACTATTTTTTCTTTAAATATAATGAAATCAAAAATATTGCATTAGTACTTATAAAAATAAACAAATAATATATATATATATATATATATTTATACAACATAAGTACTTAATTTATTGTAGATTTAAATTTGTAAGAACTTGATAGTCGATATAATGCTAATCTGCTATTATATAAAAATTATAGTTTATACCTATAAAAATGTATAAGAAAGTATACACTATTAAGACGTAGGGTTTGTAGCAGGGCGGATCCAGGGGGGGGGGGGCACTGGTGGCAAGTGCCACCCCCGTTGGAAAAAAAAAAAAATTTTAGTATCGAAATTTTTTTTTTTGTAGGGGGATATATCTATATTATAACATTTTTCCTATAAAGTGCCCCAATCGTAAATACATGCTGGATCCGCCCTTGGTTTGTAGTTAATTAATGTGTACACTTTACACTGTTTTTACTTATTTGCAAGTATAAGTAGGAGTATTTATTTAATATCTACCTCTAGTTTAGATAAATACATCTTATTTTACTTTACAACGCTAAATAAATACTTATTATAATTAATGTTTCTTTTAACTGTGTAATATTAATTATTAAATTTATATAAATATACACGTAGACGTCAATATTGTCGGAGATAAAAGCAAGGTAATATAGCGATTAGGTTTATTACTACACGGACTTACAATATTTGCTATTTTGATCAGTCTCCCATTAATAAAATATTCACTTAGTACAACAGCAAAATTATTTTTGAATAACATTATCAGAATTTTTTTAAAATATATTAAATGAAATATATTGTCGAAATATTGGATAAAACTAATTATGTTTTTACATTTTTGTTTTATAGAACTGTTGCACAAACATAATATACACAATGCATAGAAATCAGTTGCTATTTTCACTCCTCGGTATTTTGGCCGTTGCATGTGCCGTACCGAATGATAGGAAGAAATTTGTTCGAGTTATTACTGAACCGAAACCAGGAGAAGAATATGTTAGCATACACACGGGAATGCCTTCGTCGAGCGTTCACAGCTTACCTTTAGGTAAGTAATTGTGGATTTTTGATAAAATTAATTTTTTTTTTTTTTTAAATAAAAATAACGTAAAAATTTGCGTTAGTAAATGATTAATTATACCTTTAACGAGATTTTCATTGCAGAGAGCGATATGGATGTGAAAATCCAAGACGAAGGACAAACGGGTATAAAAGAAGTCACTGGTTCTGTACCAATAGAAGAAAAAAATTACGCGGTAAGTACCAATACATTCAAAGATATATAAAAATATTTTTTAAATATGTCAACTGGGGGGCACGTGAGTCATAAAAATAGTTATTATAAATATCACGGGTCAGCAATTAAATAAAAGAAAATATTATTATGTTCGTCGCGTAATAATTTTATGTAACGATTATATTATTGCGTCAAAACTCTTATTTTATACCGAATACAAGTGAATATCTTGTCAATGTTAAGTACATACATCAACAATTAATAGCGTAATAAAGTTCTACCTAATATTACTTTTAGGTACTTAACCTAAAGGATACCATTATAATCGTATTATACAATGAATAAAAATGAAGCTCACATTTATTTCGAAAACGCTGTTTCATCTAGCGTAAAATTAATTTTGCGGTTTATATGATAGTATTAAAGCACATTATCCGAATCGATTTTGAGTTAAAAATAAAACATAATAAATAATATAGAATTATTAAGATACATTTAACAAAACGTCAATGTAATATTGTTAAGTACTATGTATTAGATTTAGTTAAGTAATACATTACTTAAAATTTTAAGCGAAACAATAAATGTATCGATCTCACAACATTTTTTGAGTCTGATGACACTTTTTTCCAGTAGAGAATTGAATGTAGTCGGTACCTTTTTATAAGGGTTACGACGGTTTTGTCAACACAGTAAATACATTAATTGTGACATTTATTTGTGTAAAATATAGTAAATACCATATTGTGTTTTTTATTTAGCATAAAAAATTGTATCCATCCGACGAAGATGGATTAAGGAAAACAAAGCCAGAAAAAAAATATACTGCACCAATTGATACAGATGATATTACTTCCGACAGTTTTGCCACTAAGCCGAATAAATCAAAGTAAGTCAATCGAATACCCAAACCAATATTGTTAATTAAAATGTATTTTGTTAGGATTAAGCGGGAAGAGATTATCACTCAGAACCCTTCAAAAGTTCAAGATAAAACAAAAAATAATAACAAAGAAGACGATGGCTTGTTTGACTTTGTGGATTCCCCATATGGGAACCAACCAATCGTCGGTTCAGCTTCTTCTCAGGCGTCCCGAGTAAATATCAAAAAAGCGCCAAACGGCCAAGAATACGAATATGAGTACGTCTATTATTATTATGACGAGGATGAAGAACACGCAAAACCCGGTTCCAAAGGTAATTATAATATAATATATAATTTTTAACAATTTATAATAATTTTTTGATTTCCAAAATCCGAAACTATTTGTTTCAAATTACAGCTAGTCAGAGCACTTCAAGTTCGCCCCCAACCAGTTCAAAACCCAACAAGGATATCAAAGAAAACAGCAAACCAAAAAAACCCGCTGCTGTACAAGATGAAAACCAATTTGTCCAAAATACTAACAAGGGCAGGTTAGTACCAATCATTCACAATTTTATAATACAATAATAAATTAGTTGTATTTGATTTTTAATTGGTAAAAAATATAGTCGTTAATCATTTTAATTGAATATTATTACATAGAACATATTTAAAACGCAGTTTTATCTCCTTTAACTTATTTAAAAGTTACTATCAATGTAGAATGGTTCATAAGTTGCAATATTATCATGGTTTTTTATAAATTAACATTTAGTTGGCTAATTGACCAAAAACACTCACTGTGGTAATATTAGGAAATGTGAATAGTGTGATAGCCTTTGCTTATTGAGGTATAGGTAAATCTAATTATAGAGTTAGGAAATCGCAAAATTCGGAAAAATTAAATAAAGTAAAAAAAAAAATTGTTTTGTTAAACTGGGATAAAATTTTTGACAAGTATTTAAAAGAAATATGTCAAGTAATAATAATGTTCAATCCATAAGTTGGTACTCAAATCTAAATAGACAAATGTGTTTTGTACTTTTGATATTGAATCTTATCTTCTTACATCTAGGAGTAAATTAAATTTTTTTTTATTTATAAATCCTTGTTGGAGTATTTTTAGAAGAATCAATAAATAAATTTGAATAAAAACTCAAAATATCTTATTTATAAAATATAAAATTTACAGTTCATAAAATAAATTATCAAGAGTTCATTGAACAATACATAAGTAGTCATTTTTTTTTTAAATTTATAAAACACACAATTTAATTTTCATCTGAAATAACATTTAATTTAATTTAAATTTTAGGTTTTCTGCAGTAGAACATACTGTTACTACAGAAGAACCTGAAGGACATGCTAACTTTGCAGTTAATGATATTGCTGAACACAATAGTAAAACAAAGTAAGTACTTACAAAAATTACAAAATGTTTAGTACTATGCAATAAATGAACAAAAAAATATTTATACATTCCTACTCAAACCCGCAGTATAATCAAATAATTTGGGATTATAAATTTCGCCATTTTTATCTAATGTATAGTGAAACCATTTTCCTTTGACTTTTAGTGGTATACTTTGACCACTCGAATTTCTACCAACAGTACAGCTAACCTGAAACAATATAATTTTATAGTACTAAAAGAGAAACATAAGCGTGTAGTAGTGTACAATATACATATTAACAATATTCTAATTTAAAACTATACAAGTAAAATATTATATATTATTCATTGGATTTGAAATAGTAAAGTAGAGTATTAACATCATGTCAGTCAGAAAACATGTGGCAAGCATCTGATTATTGATGAAAATTTGTCATTGATATTTGTGGATATTAAAAAATTTGCTTACTGTTTCAAGAGGTATGGTTGTTGTTATATTTCGATTGAAAAAACCAAATGATGTTATACTCAGACGATCACCTCCTTTGCATAAAACCAACATTTTTACAGATTTCATTGTGTAAACAGAGCATATAGCTATTAATATTGTACCTTTAAACATATTAATATTTAAATTTCAGTTTTTAAACAAATAAGAATTTAATAAATTTATAATTTATTTCTTACCCATGCATAAACAGGCGATGGGAATGCCGAGTGTTGCTATTTTTCCTCGAGATTTTATTTTATCTACCCATGATATTGGTTGATGGTTTGAATTATTGTCGGGCTCTTTGTTCAATAAGACATTGTAAGAATCTGCTACTGTAATCCAAAAACCAAACTGAACTATAGAAAACACACTGATCATTTTGTACGTTTTGTCGCTAGATGATTTGTATAGAAGCACATCTTTTGGGACGTTAGTATTTAAATTAAATATCGACTGTTCGTTGAAATATCTCTTATTAAACCATTTTAATTTTTCCAATTGATTTTTGTGCAATTTACCGGAAGTGTAAAACGTCCGATAAAACGTTACACATCGTATACACGGTAAAAAATTAAATATATGATGAAATATCATTATTATTTGAAATAGATTACAGTAAACTGAAGTAACTATGCGATTTTGCACTGTATTAATAAAATAACAATTTATAAGCTATGATTGAAAATACGTAGTCATAAAAATATTTAACTTAGTAATCACAATGATCACATGTTATCATTGTCCACCGATCAGTGATCTATCACAATATTATCTTTATCTTAATATCAGTGATACGTTAACACTGTATTTCTTATCACTTTTGAACGTTAGAGATTTGTTGAAAATAATTTTACTGTGGCGTTGGTACAACTTGTAGTATATGCCTTATGGCTTGTATCGACAACTGGTCTACATAACTAAACGTCTAGGCAGTTGAAGGTCGTTTAGTGCTACTTATCCATGTTAAAATTAGACACACACGACAACTGAATAATAATATTATATCCTTATTATTTTATTAACATAATTTGTGGTTTAATTTAGTACCTGCTAAAGTGATAAAATATGGGAAGTTTGGTTAAGAGTTAAAATCCCTATGCGGCTATGCGGCTAGGTATACCTACTAGAAAATATTATTAGAAGAAAATATTTTGTATATGAATTACATATTTACTACCTATACATACTACCACTACTTCTAGGTACACATATCTACTCAACGAATGATCGATTTGACTATCTGAGATATTAATATGATTTAATGAATAATTTTACAATAGGTATTCAAACGTCAAACAGTAACGAAATAAAGTAACTGTTTTGGATCGTAGGTGCAATGTAATAATGTCGAATTATAGTTTATAACACTAACCTGTATAAGTCACGATTAATATATTTTATTGTATGATGAATGAATCAAAACAACAATATCAATGAAGTCCGCTACTAGGTATCAATATATATATATATATATATATTTAATTGCTTTAAGCATAATAATGTATATACCTGTCTACATCTTTGTCATATTAAATGTATTATTATACATTTTACTTTAGGTCTATAGAATATAGGTCAGCGTCTTTTTAATACTTGATCTAATTCTTCCGTTTACTTAACGAGGGCATCATATATTTAATTTTGAATCAGGATATATCTACGTATGATATCTTCAGTCATTAGTGCCTATTTAATTATATTTCATGTGTGCAATTATGATTGTAGGAAATAAAAATGTTCTACCTATCACCATTTGTTCTGTGTATTTATAAAATATTACTTGAAATTATGCAACAATGAATTTATGTCTTATGACTGTTTATTTTACTTATACTGGCGGAGTCTCTTCAACTTCTAATTCGTATAATCTTAGTCTCTGAGTTATTAAATTTTAACCTTAATGTAGTATACGTAGTAGTAGTAGTCCTTAATAAAATTGTTCATAAAGAGTGTAATATAAATATTATATTTAATCTAGGGTGGTCAATAATTGCTATAAATTATATCTACAATTTTAATAGATTTATATTAAATATTAATAATTATTTAAATGTTTAAATCATTATAGTTTCCAAATTTTCTATACTTAATATAATTAATGAACAAAGTTAAATTTCTAACTCAGATTCTACTAACTATTTTTTTTAAATATTGAATTTTGATTTGTATGCTAACATAAATATTTTGATAAAAAATCATCTCTTTGATAATTTACAATTAAAAAATGTAGTTCACATTGAAAAAAAAGGAAATTTATGTTTGAAAACATGGTCTTGGAGTTTTTTTTATGCCTAAAGTTTATAAATCAGAATTAAAACAGTTTAATTTATTAGGAAAAAAATGGGGGTGAGTTTGAGTGTATTTGGTGAATCACTCTGTACAATGAATATAATTTACATTTTGAATAACTAATTTTGAGCTAGTTACCGTAATTATTAAGCTATACAGAATATATTAAATTTCAACACATTTTATTTAGGGATTCTGGACGTAATCTCGAAGAAGCTTTATCAGTTCCGTCATCTTCGTTACCAGTTTCCGAAGAGCGTCTTCCTCATAATCCTAGATTCCCTGTCCGATCTCGCGGCAATTCAAAACCGGCTCAGGAAATTGCTACGACAGCTATACCCGCTACAGATACTCCGATTACTCGTATACGAGCAAATAACAATGGTAAACGTAGTTAAGCACCTATTTAATGAATGATTTATTTTAACAAAACCGTATACATTTAAAAAGGCCCACACCAACCAGGTTTGGATTTGGTGGACAGCAGCGCTTTTAGAACTCATTCTAGTAATGGTCAACATGCACAAGTTACTAAACCAAGACACGAAAATCACAAAGGTAAGTTATAAATATCTGGCATAGACTAATAATGATTTATTAATGACAAAATATTATACAATAGTATTTAATAGAAAAGTATTTTGTAAATACCTAGGTATGTAGTTATGTAGATTGCTATAATATAACGTGTTTACTACACAGTAACACATTATCTGGGTTATAGTAAATTATGTGGAAATTATTTTCATTTAAGGTTAATTTAGCGGATAAAGGGTTAATTGACCAAAACAATATTTGACTTATTTTTATATGATATTTATAACGGGCATTGAAGGAAAATCCAGTTTATACTATATTAATGCATAATATATGGGCGTAATTCTAAAGACTAATATAATATCTACTTTTGTACAGAATAAAATATTTGTTGTATTTTAATAGTTATTAAATTATCACGTATACGTGTGTAAATGAAAATTTGTGAGTGTGTGTGTGTGAATAATATCTAACCTCGAAGGCCAACTGTGCGTATCAAGAAGAGGCGGCTGTGCGAGGTAGGTTAAAACTGGTGAAAATACATATTTTCAGATGCTGTGGTACAAACGACCGCGATGCCAGCAGATCAAGTAGCAACTATTAATAACGCTTATAACACTCAGCTGACAGAAACAGTAGCAACTGTAACAGAAACAGTTAGCTTAGATCGGAATCAAGACAATACCGATGTGGATACTAAGGGGTTATCATTGACGACAACATTAACCCCCGACGAGGTCGTCACGATCGTCACCCAACGTTATACCGCAGGTTCGCGACGGACGTATACTAATATCAGCTAACCATACTGACATGCTGGATGGTTTTTAAACCGTGTATTTATGGATACATTGCTTTAGTTGTTTTTATATGTAGCTTTTAACATGCTTCAGTTAACATTACTTTTTAACAAGAATCGTTATATTTCAATATAATTACTTGTGAGCCTTTATATTTTAACTCAAGATAATAATAAGTTATGTTCAATAATATTTTTATCGTTAAAATACAGATTTAACGTTAAGAATGAAATTACTAACGCCTGACTATTTTCATTTCTTACACTAACATTGCATAATAGTGTAGTATTGCTTTTGATTATGATATGATTATTAATTATTAAATTATTATTCAGGTATAGCTTGTATTTTATTATCATCATTGTGATCGGTAGATTGGATACACCTATTGTGTACGGGTATGAACCTCTCCTTTGGTTTCTTGTTTACGGGTGGGTGTCAGTAAGCATCAGATAGTTTAAGAAAATGACTTGCTAATATCTAATTACAAATAATAGAGTTTTTAAAATCAGTTGTTGAGATAAAAATAAAAAAATATTGAATCCTTTAAACTAAAAATAAATATAATTTTTGTAAAGAGATATTTGAATAATTTATATTGAAATTATTATTTGTGTAATATATATACATAGATATATTAAATTTATTAATGGTTTTAAAATAATTTAAGCGTAATTATTTTCTATTCTTGGCATTATTTTTAAAATTATATTTATTATAATTTATCATTTGAATTAAAAAAATATGCTGTTAAAAATTGTATCCTTGTTGCATGAACGATCAATCACTAAGCTTTTAATGAATCAATAGCGAGCTAATGGTTCCTTGAACATTATTTAGTACCTTCTGATTAGGCTATTAAATTAAATATTAATCGATTTTTTCACGTAACTCTGCATTCTATGATATTTATAATATTTATCAAGTAAATGGATTAGAAATAAAAATATATTTACTTTTGATTTTTGAGTGACAAGAAAATTATCTGTCACATACTCCCGCTATTCTTTAAAGTAAGAATATTTTTGTTACAGATATTATTGATCTTTTATATTAACTAATTATATTGGGCGATTATTAAAGATAATATTAATTAGTGTATAGTTGTTATTATTGTTCCCATAAGAAACTTAAAGTAAATATAGTTTTAGTATTTAATATATAATATAATTGTCTGAATTACAGTAATGTTTATAAAAAAAGATTAAATTGGGAATCATTTCTTATTTATGACTTTCATTAACTATCATCAATCATTACATTACTTAAGAGGAAGTCACATTAAAATGTTTTGTTTTTTTATTATTTATTAATAAGATTTAGATTGACTTTAGTTCATAATATTAATTTAATGACTATACGGGTTTTTTTTTTACTAACGATTGAAGCGTACGTAGTAGGTATGTATAAGTATGTTTTTTACTATATTTTGACATATCTACTACCTGTAATATCTGTTGTGTGCAGTAACAGTAAATTAATACATCATAATGTGACGTCCTCTTAAAATAATAATAACACGAAATTCGGTATTTTTCTTTTATTGAATTTCGGTACAAATAACTGCAAATTGCAGTATGAATTCTATATGATATGTTTAAAAAACAACCGAATTTGCTATAGGATCGACAGACAAAGGGGCAGTAGACCTGTACGCCATTTTGCAGCAAACACGTAGCGAAGAAACGGCCAACACGATATTATCGAATGAACATTCCACGAGGTTTGAGGACAGCGAAACTCAATTCCCAACTACTCTGCGGCTGGTACCAACCACGATCACAACCACCACAACACAAGCTCCAACGACAACAACGACAACAACTACTACCACAACCACTACCACTCCAGCACCGACACCAGCACGTCAAGCTCCTGGATCCGGGCCGGTGCGTAGCCGTTATCGCGGCGGCTCCGTGGGTAACAGGAATTCGTTAACGTCGACCACTACGACAACGACAACTGAGTTACCACCATCCGACGAGGTCACTGAAAAACGTAAATTCAAACCTTCCCGAGAACGGAACACACAGGTAATTTAATATTTTATTAGTACCTAAACGATAAATTTAGGGATATTGTAAATAATTGGAAACCATTGTTAATACGTTAAATGTTTTTCCTACCAACAGTGGAAAGGAATTTTAAAAATATGCACTTTAAGTAAAGAGCGTTAAATCTACATATTACTTTTAACCACTGCATTGATTGGTAAACATTCATATAGAATGTTTCCCAGTAAAAAGATATTATTTATTTGTAATTTATTTATATAATCGCAGACTATTATGAAAACTACACTATTATTTTAATTTTATATAGCATAATAAATAAATATGGTGTAAATGTATAATAATTGTGATCTGTATTGTAAAATAGGCAATAGCATATCAATAATGTCAATACCACGAGTTATGATACTTTTTAAGCTTCAATGGGTTTAATGTATATTATACATATTCCCATGCTAATATATTTTTGTTTATTTTTTTTTTTAAATATCATATTATATTTTATAGGGATCTGTCTATAGCAAGAGATATCAATCTTCTACAGCCGCTCTTGATAAAGAATCTTCCACTACTGAAAGCGAAGTAGTAACAAAAGCACAAAGTAATTTATTTTAATATTGTATTTTTGTTACATTAGGTATTTGAAAACTTTATTTATCAACTTTAAGCATCATGATAATTAATAATACGCATATAATTTATTTATAAATATAAAGTTGATTATTTACATAAAATTATTATTTTAGAACCTTCCTTCGGTCGTCAAAGAACACGCGCAAGTAAACCCATATCAAGCACAGCTCCTATTGATGAAAATGTAGAGGTTACATCAGCAGCACCAAGACCTAACTTTGCGGAAAGGTATATACTTAGTTTTCAATAATTTATATTTTTGAAAGTTAGAGCCTAAAATAATAATAAATATACATTTCAGATCCAATTTGAGGAGACAAAATAGTAGAAACAAGTTTACAACATCTGCATCAACAACTACAACAGCAGCACCTATACAACAAGTAACAGAAGAAAACGAAAGCAATGTTTCTGAACTCGAAGTTTCAGAGCCAACAACCACAACTGCTAAAACTATCGGGTAAATGATTTACTTAATACAAAAATTAAATTGTTAACGGCGCAATTACCTGTCCATAACTTTAAAACGTGTCAATTATTGGTGTTGTGTATCAGTGCCAGATTAATATAAAATGGGGGAAATACAAAAGGACTCGATGTTAAGTTGACAAAATGCTCAGTTATACTGAGTAAAATACATACGCTAAAATAAAATAGAATAAAAATAAATAAATATAATATACCTATTATACTAAACGATGACACAGCAATAATTTATGGAGCTAGTAACAGAACAAGATTACTTCGACACACATAATCTCTGTGGATCGAAAAGTTATTATTACATTTAGTAAAGTAGACTTAAAAAAAAAAAAAAAACAGAACAGTTGAGTAATTTATAATGTTATATTTTTATAGAGGTAGACCGAGACCAAATATTAGACCATTGAGACCAGGATTAAGATTGAACTTTGGAGGAAAGGGTTCATCAACAACAGCGGCCCCTGTACAATCAACAACTCAAGCACCTATCGTAGAAAGTTCTCCAGATGAAGTAGAAGAAAAGGTTTGTATCTAATTAAAGTATTTTTTATTAAATTGTAATTGTTATGTAATTAAATATTTGTTATATTTATTAGGAACTGATACAAGAAACCAGCCCAACCCCAACACCAGACACACTTTCAAGACTTAAAAACAAATCTAGATTCAGAGTACCAGAAAAACAAGCTTCACTTGCACCGAAAGCACAAACTTTAGCTCCTCCTGTTACTGGCCAAAATAGAAAACATTTATTATCTAATTTGTTGCCTAAAAAGAAGTCGATTCAAACTGAAGAGCCTCCAGTATCTGAGGATTTGAAACCAATAATGGAAAATGAACAGGAAAACGCAGAATTACAAAACGAAGAAGATGTTGATCGACAACAACCTTCTTCTACCACGACCAGCACAACTGAGGCACCTCCATCGTCTACAAACAAATTATCATCTTTGTTATCTAAGCGAAGGCCACTACAAAGAAGACCAGTTGACCTACCTAGCAAACAATCAAATCAAGACGAATGATAAATCAAAATTATATTTAAAAAACTATTGGATAAAATATATTTATGATCCATATAGATACTAATTTTAAATGTATAAAATGTAGTATCCATTTCAGCTAATTATTTTAAGTAATAATTTTGTTCCCCTAAATATATCATTATTTTAAATTAATTTTGTATTATAATTTATGATTTTTTAAAAAAAAAATTATTTTTTTAAAAGACTCCAAAAAAAAATAATTTTTTGAAACACTGTCGTTTTTTGCATATTATTGATTGGTACAATATCTATTAAAATTATATAAAATTATAGTACCAACTATTAAAAAAAAAAAATAAATATTTTTGTTAAAATAATTACAATTAATTTTCTAAAGATTATGAAATTACCACCATATTATTGAAAGTAAACAATATGTCATTTAAATATTTAATGTAGGTACCTAATTACTTTATACAAAAATATTGTGTTAATAATATAAGAACATAATTTTCTGATAAATATCTGTTGTATCTTTTGTAGTTAACAATTAAAATGTATATATTATAATATTATCTATATTATTTTTGAAAGTTTATCAAAGTTAAACGATAGTAAAGTAAAATAATTACACGACTTTACACATAAATTAAATATTTAATATTTTAATGTGTATCTATAAGTTTATAATAAAATCAATGATAATTAATTTTTGACTTTTATTTTACTACCTATTCATTATAATATATCATGATGATACTTAAGTATATGTTTATTAATATATCTACTTAATTTTATATAATTCATTAACATAATAACATATTACTGAAATATTATTAAAGATAAACCAATTAAATACATATAATTACTAATAGATTTTGAAATGAAAATAGTATGAAATGTATTAACTTTAAACAATTCATTTTCTCAGATTTTGGATTTGAAAAATATTGAATTTTTTTTTCTTAAGTCCTTTCATAGTCTATATTAAGTAAATCTAAACTTGAGGTTTAAATTTGGTTATAAACGTTTTTTAATTTTTATAATGACCTCTTTGCTGTTTCTACTGTAACAGAAAAAATAAAAATATAATACTAGCTTCTAAAACTTCAAAGTATATCGTTACGGTATTGTGTTGTTCAATATAAAAAATACTGGTATTTTATGAACAATTTTTAATATTTTAATATTATTTCCGTCATTGATAATATTTGGTTTGCAAGATTCAAACTAATTCATGTTTATAAGTTAAAACAATCTTTAAATAAATTATTATAATTTAATCCTAACAAGTTTGAAATTTAAATTTTTTATACATACTTTTTGTGAATTTAAATCGTGTATTAAGTTGTGTTAAAATACATTGTATAATTTCGTGATTTTAATTCTAAAATCTCCATATATCTCATATGAGTATGTAGTATCATACATTTGTTAAATGAAAAAAGAAATAATAGATTATTCTTGTATTTAAAATTTGTTAAGAAAAAGTGTTTACGTAAATTATATACTAATTATTTTTAAGATTACATAAATTAAGAACTACTTAATAGAGAAACTATAGCCTATAGGGCAGTAGTAACTAAATACGGTCCGTGATCATTTTTTCGTTCGCCAAAGTAATTAAAATTAAAAAAATAAAAATATTCTGAAAATGTGACGCTTGTAAAGATTAATATACATGAATATTTATATTAAAATATATAACAATAATAAATATTATTATTTATTTTAACTTAATATTTATATCTAGTTTTATATCAATTATTGTATAATAAATTATTAAATTTATCAGTTATTTAATACTAAAATGTGACATTAATTTCAAAGAGAAACTTTAAATTCTTGGCCCGTTGAATAACATTTTTTTTTTATGGCCCTTGGTAAAAAAAAGATTGGTCACCACCTAGGGCATTGTCATGGTGCCTGTGTGATTAAAAGAGGAAAGTTTATATATTAATAGAGAAAGCGATATAGATGTTTTCTAATAAGTTGATTCATACGGTATAGAGGTAGTTTAGTAATTATAAATTGAAAATAGTAAAAACATTTAAATACTTAAAACGAGTGATAAAATAACGAATTGAATAGCAAATATAGAAATAGGACAAGGCAATTTTAGTAAGAAGATGAAAATATAATAGTTGCTAATTTAGACTGAGAAACACAAAACCTATATAATTGATAAGGCTCTTAAATATTTTATAGGTACAAGGGGATATTGCCGATATTGGATATATTATTGATTATAATTTATAAAATTTACATATAAATAAATATAAGTGAAGATAGATGTATTGTATGTGAGATATTATATAAGCAAATCTGCAAAAAAGTACATTAAATTAAGTACTTTTCAAAAAGGATTAAAATAAGGTATTTATAGAATTTTTATTTGTGGATTTTGATTAGCGCATTGAATATATTTGATATACAGAAATGTATGACTTTTTATGGGTTTAATTTTTATTTGTTGTTAGTTCGTCATTAAAAGTTAGTTCTACTTAAAGTGTGTCTTATGTGCAGTTTTTTAGGTTTACAGACTGGGTGTGGTTTATATTATTTAAATCGGTTTAATGTGATCTAGCAAGTAGTACGTATTATTATTCGTTTGATTATGAAAGTAAAATTTATAAATATAGATCATTGTAATTTTATTGTAAAATAAATTTCGAGCAGGGTTTGGAATAAAATAAAATAATAAATCTCATGAGCATAAAGCGTGTTTAAGAATTTTTATTAAGTTCAATTTTTTTATTTTACAAGATTTTCGTTGAAATTACCTGGGTAATCAGAAAGCTATTTTACTAAGATAGAAGAGCTCAATTTTTATTCGTTGGTAGTTTATTTGATAAACATTAATTGCCTGAAAAATTTGTTTTAAAAAACCAAACATCTTTTTTTAGTCTCGTTATCAAATTAGACATAATAAAGTATACAGTTTCATCGTTTAAACTATTAGGTTATTCGGATCGTGTATGAAAAAATCGGTGGGCATAACATGTATAGATAGTCTTTCGTAATTGTACTGTTTTTATAATTCAAATGACCCTGCATATGAAACCAGTTGACATTTATTTAATAGAAAACTAGAAACCCTATTTTTATAACACTAGGTAATAAAATAAAATAAAATGATTACAGAATAATATTGATGTAAGTCCTAAATTGAACATTAATATTATTGCTTTAATAATACAATACAAAACTGTAAACATTCATGTTTTATATTATGGTATTTAATAAAAATTAACGAAAATTAATATATGTATGCAGATGAATAAATAATTATATATCATTTTTGAAAATTGATTAATAAAAACACCGATAAAAACGATTGTAAATGTGTTGTACACTCATGATTACAAACTTCATTTATAGAGCCACCGTCTATATTTGTTTATAGGTAGTTAAAAAAATGTGTTCATAAAATGTATAAATATATATTACACACAAAATATTATACTATCATTTATTGTATTTAAATCACATACAATTTTTTATCTTTAATTTTAGAGCATGAGATGTTCGTTGAAAATATATTAGTGATCTTATGAAGTATAACTATTTTTATGTTTTATAATTATTATGACAGTAAAACATTTAAATTTTTAAGTAATTAATTCTCGGAAACATTGAGGCGCACCGGTATTATAATTAAAAGTATTACTTATTTTTATTTATTTTTGATAGAATTTTCTCAATAAATTATCATATTATTTCAATACATATACCTAGAGTCCATTAATACATCAATTTAAGAGAAATTTTATTATTTTAACTAACTGAAATACATAAATTAAAATATCCACAATACGCACAAAGTGGTTAAAAATATAAAAAAATAAAAATGTAATAAAAAAAAAAAAAAAAATAATAATAATTAACAGTTATTAAAAATTTGTTATTTAATATCAAAAATGTTAACTGTTTGTTTATTTATTGTTTTATATTAATACAATAATTAAATGAAAAACAGATAATTTTAATGAAACCCGAGATTCTAAAAATATAGCATTGATATACAGAATTACATAATTTGAATATCCCAAATGAAACAAATTTTTTGTTTTTATTTTGTATTTTTAAACAGTATAAAATAAATATACAAATAAAGCAAAAATATTCAATACTTAAATGAAATGCATCATTATCTAACTTTGAAATGCACTAGAATATAAACTATCTATAATCCTTATTTTTATAATTTTATTGTAAATTTAAAAGTAATTTGGATAAAAAATTGGAATACACAGAACTAGAGCATCCACAATACGCACATTTTGGGAGCAACCTGATTATGGATTTCCGGTAACAAATCCGATTTTATTATACATACTACTAATATATTAAGTTTTTAAACATTTTGTTTAATAAAATAACATTTTTATTGTTCTCTAAAAGTGTAATATTAAAAAAAAAAAAAAAGGTTGTAATATCAATTAATAGTTATATAATTTATATTTTATACAATATAATAGCTTAAAACAAAATACTTGTGCAAGTAACTCTAAAACCTTTTTGTATAAATATATTAAAAAATGTCCTGTCTGGAATAATATTAGTGTAAATATATGCTACTATACTGCCTCTACTATTATAATATTTAATTACAATAAATTGTATACAATGGGTTTTTATAATTCAAAATAAATTAAAAATATATTCTGCTTAGAAATATACGAGTAAAACCAAATATATATGCTGTGATTTGAAAAAGTAAAAGACTTAAGAAAACAATATTATTTTCTAAAGTTATTGCTTTGTAAAACCTAAGAAAAATGTCAACTTTTCTCGTTTCTCCAAATAAATACAATTTTAATTGATATTTCATAAGTATGAGATTTATAGAATAAAAATATTGTGTGAATTTCAACACTCTTTTTATTCTTAAGCGATATAATATTAACATAGAACGTGAAACATTTTTTATATACGTATCTAATTTTAGTGCGTATATTATTAAACGTAATTTAATTATCATGCAGTTGAATAATAATATTTTCCATTTTCGAAATGTATATTCATGTATTTTAAGCATGGGAGTAAAATAATAAAATTAATATGTTTATTAAGTATAATTTATAACATTATACCATATTAAAATACAAAAC